CTACGAAACACGTATACTGTACAGTAGTACAGCACTTTAACATCTGCACCACTTTGTAGAGGTCACCGCCTCGTTCAGCTGAGCCGCGATCCTGCATTCACACTCGACAGTACTACCATGTGTATGTGCAAAAAGCCAACGCCTCTGTGTGTCCTCCACATGTAACGATTTCATTCCCTGAAAGAAAAATTCCAAACTCTTCCTCCGCAAATCACTCTCGTACTTCCACTGCAACTCGTACCTTTTACACTGAAAACCCTTCCAAGGAGCACTACTGTACTCACATTACACATTTTCGTCGCGGTATCATCACAACAGCGCCTCGTCGACACGAGGACATAACTATCGTGGCTCGTTTGAACTGTGTGGCTTAGCGCTTCTATTTAACAACCAAGGGAAAAAACTTTGCTCCTCCCCATTTCTGGTCTCCATTGGCTATATGTACTTCGCATACCCACATCCTTGCAATCTCCATACGAGGATATTCTTTGTACCACCGAAAAATACCACTGTAACATATACCCTTCGCCCGTTTTGTCCCAAAAATTATGTCATCCCAGTTTCTCGCACATAGGCATTTAACCTGTATGCGTCTTTTTACCACACCGCATGTCGTGCGACATTGTCTTCTCCACCGAAAACAGTCTATCCGTCGCGCCCCCGTCCTCAACAATCTCGATCCCGGTCCAACTTCCGCTTTGTCTTTCCCCCTGATATCACCAATCCACCCACCACTAGGTTATATTCCATCACCCTTCCTTTCAATATTACCAATCCCCTTCGAATCTCAATCAGTGAAGTAGCCCCTCCTCTATGCCGCACACATTCCATTCTGTCGCGGCATTGTGCGCAAAGATGTTGTAGACATACAAAAAGAACGGCACCCAATGCATCACAAGACTACTGTTCCATACAAATCACCACGGTTACTGCCGGGTATCAGGCCCCAGTGTCACCCAGCGACGAGATCACATCTATGTCATGTATCAAGGATATATGTTCCTCGATCACTTCTGTTGTAGCCTTGTCCATGGCAATCTTGGAGAAGCCCTCAACACCATGTGTTTGAGATTCTACGAGATTGTTCATCTTGGAACTTTGCTGTCAAGACCGATCTTCGTGATCAGGACAAAAGGTAGTTCCAGCAGTGTCCGTGCGGTGACACTCACCAGATGGCAGGCATGCCCGCAATACATCTACTGCCTTGCAGACTGTTGATTGCTGCTCTTCATGAAAGACACTGTCTGCAATGACGTGGTCAACATATACAGGATGTTGTGCAATCTCAAATGACTAGAAATCAGCAAATCAGCACGAGTGCGTCTCCTTCGCAACACCATAAACACAAATGAGAGTGGAAAACAAGGACATGACTTTTCTTTGTGTTCTTCCAAAAACTTTGGGATCGACAAAAAAAAAAAAAAAACTAGGAGGTGAGCCAGACCTCGTGCTGCTGCCACCAAGGCCAAAGATGCGTTCAAGCGGGCAAATAGAAAGAAAATCTGTAGAAAAACGCACTGACGTGAAGATAAGAGTCAGCAATCGATTTCGAAGCGATGGGGTGTGTGGACTGTACGGCAAGGGCAGTCGCGGAAGTTCAGGTAAGCGCACGTCGGCGCCAAATCGTCCATTGGATCTCCACGAAATGCCAAGTAAGGAGTAGGCGTCGGATACCGTCGAACAGTCATCATTACATCGACGAAGCCTCATGGAAATGCTGCTACATGTCCACACACGCACGCTCACACACAATGGTGGAGTGAAAACATGGGAAATTCTACACACACACACAGTTAAGATGTGGGAAATTGTGGGGATTTGACAAACGTACCTGGCAGAGCAAGATCTCGCTGACGAGCCTCACATGCTCTAAGACCAGGTCCGGAACGACTAGAGCCGCGACCAGCGATCTGCGAGAACACCGCACGTGTGCGAGGGGAACTTGTGGCGCGATCTGTTGTGATGACAGGGGTAAAATTGCGTCGCGGTTGCGCGAAACAAAAGCGCTGGGGCACGGCACTGAATATGTCACAGTATGTACGACGGCGTCGGCGAGGGAAGGACTCGTGCGCCATGGAACAGTCAGTGACTTTGGCGCCCACGTCTCGTTGCCTCTGGTGCACACGTGGAAAACAGGTGCTACGTGTACTTCCACACAGGTATACGTGTTTATAGTTGATTCGTTGTACGTGTCAAGAAAGCATCGAGGCCGGAGGGATTCGTTTTTAACGGGGAAGGTTAAACGGGGACAATGCCGTTGCTTCCGCGACGGTCCTCGCCCGCGAGAGTAGAAGACCGCTTCCACATCAACTCAGGTGCTGTGCCCCTGGTATCCGATTTAGTTGCCCTCAAAGGACAGTTTGTCCCGTACTGCTATGACAGAGTCTACAGTGTAATTGTTCGTCGCAAGACTCTGCACAGTGTGCAGTGCACACAGACGCGTTGCTACACAGACGCGTTGCTACACAGACGCGTTGTTACGCGGTGCTCCTATAAACGCGGTGCTCCTATAAACGCGGTGCTCCTATGATCGTTCTTCGTGTCCTTCCGAGAAAAAGATCATTGTCTGTGTTTGTCAAAGGCTCCTCCAACATGCGCACAGTGCACGCAAGGATTGTTAGTGACCCTACATCGTCACCAGCTGCTTCTAGCGCTATGAGCTCAACCAGACGTGCCTGAGCTGGAGACAATACAGTACTGCATGTGGACTGCATTGCGCCGTCGAAGCAGAGAGCACGCATCCCTTTGCCTTTAATTCCAACCTCGCTACGGAGATCTTACTCGTACATCGCGCAATGTCTGCGAAGCCTGCCCATTCGCTTTGCCCATACACACTCATCTTCTTTTTCGTGTTGCGACCTTGCAACTCCATCAGTGCAACCACACTGGCCTGCGCACCCCTTCATTTACGACGCTGAATGTAGCACAACGCGCAGGTGGTACTGCATCTACTATGCGTCACGCAAGTCGAAAAAAAATTCAACCACCCTTCTCTGACTGAAGTAGCATCTATCAGTTCGAATGCCCAGTCGCGCATCACGATGAGTCCCCGTCGCCCTTTGGGATCATTAATCTTTTCACTGCAGGAAACTGCTTTCAATTAATACATAGCCAGGCCAGCCCGATTACGTAATCAACAAACTTTTTTTTTCCCACCAAACTCTAGTTTAAGCTTGTCAGTAGTCGCCGCTTTGCGTCATTGTGTAGGCGTAAGCAACCAACTGCCGCAGAAACATTCACGCCTGAAAAACGGCGATTCTTGAAATCTCCTTACATCCCTTTAGCCTCAGAACAACCCTTCGAGCCCTTCAGAGACCATGCATGCTTGAACATGATATTCCAGCTCTTCTCTCGGCACTGCCAAATCGCAGAGGGGACAATGCGGTTGAGACGAAGGTTTAGTCGCGACAAATCTGGTTGATCCTCCTGCTACTGGTTTAGAAGATGCCCCTGCTAAACCGTACGGTGTGCTAACTTCATCGTCTTCAGCGACGAATGAACGAAGATCCGCGTCGCTCAGGCACTTGTGCACATGCTCCTCCAACTTGCTTCTCAGTACGGATAGATCACAGACCGGACAATTTTCCATCCGCTTTCTCTTCTGCGCTAGGGCTCCGTGTGGCTTAGTGATGCTGCTTGTGTTGATCGTTGCGTGCGTTTCTTTGAGGTTGCCGACTGAATCAAGATGTGATTCGTGACGCGAACCCCTTTTGGCCGTGCCACCGGCGGGGTTTAGTCTATTGCTTCGCTCTGGTGATCTACTAGTCTTTGCAGGAACATGTACCGCCTCTGAAGATGCTGGTTCGCTCTGTTTAGATTGAGCTTGCTTGAAAATACTCTCGGGGATGACATAGCTGTTGCCCTTTCTCAAGTTCTTCTGGACGAGAGTTCTTTCAAGAATTGTTTCCACATTGACACCGTGTTGCTCGGCAAGTTTGTTAATCATAGTCTCTTCCACCAAGAGCCCATTCCCCACTTGACGCATCAGACGTTCTGCACCTAATCGCTGTTGCTCACAGGGAGATTCCTCTCGTGTGACTTGTTGCAACAGCGACGCTACTGCCGAACCCGGCTGTGACGCCTTATTGAATTTTCGTGATGGGACGTGGAATGCACCCAAGACGTCTTCTCGGTTAACATGGAGAGGATTCATGGAAAAGGACATTAAGAGATCTGTGTCTGGTATCATTCGCTTCAAGGCATCATACTGATTTCTTGATTGCTTTAATCGCAATGCGCTCTCCCACGAGTCGTGGCTTCGAGATCTACCACCATCTGCGAGGTCTTTCGATTCGAAAGAGAGCGTGTTTGGGATGTTGATTTGCAGCTGCATTCTGCCGCTGGCTTGAGAATGACCCTTCTCATCGTCCGAATCGGGAATGCAGATTTCTTTCGTAGCCTCGTCAGAAAACAACGCCGGGGAGAGACATCGGTCTAGATGATCGTTGAGTTCCAGTTTTGCAACGGGGGTGTTACATACTGGACATGACACCATCTCTCGCTTACTGTTTGAACTTTCTCCGGCGAGCATGCTATCAATGCGGCGGGTACGCATGACGCCTTTCGGTAGTTGTACGTCATTCTTCGTCGCAGCATCAATCGCCACAGCTCTTCGCTTGGGGGCCCGCTTCAGCACTTTCTTCTTCTTTGGAGGCTCCTTCGTTTTGATGAAGCTTCCGCCACACGCCTTCCGGTGACTTGGCCAAAAAGGGTCACGAGGAACGGGTGCTCTGTTCATGGCCCTTTTGATGACCTTAGTACATCGATTACATGTCCAATGATGCACACGGTGAACATCCACTTCATCCGTAAACGTATGGTAAGGAGTAATATTCGCTTTGGCCCCCATGACACGGTTTATCCGATCAGCATGTGCAAGAAACTTCGGGCCATGCCCGTCGACACCATCCCGAACTGCAACACCTTCCGTTATGAATAAGAATGCATGTATCATTTCATGAAGAAGCGTACTTACCAAATCGGAGCGTGGTCTAAATTTGAGCAATGGTTCACTCAAGGCAATTCTGCAACCTCCTGCGGCGCCTTTGAAAGTACAGGTACCGGCGCATAGGGTCATTCTCGAAGAATACTCGACAAACGTTGCCGTAATCTTTCCATCAAAGTGATCATAATTGAACTTGTTGAAGAGGTCATGGATATCGACAAACGGTTGGGAAAGCTCGTCTTCTTCCAAGCCTTCTTCCAAAACAAAGGGTGGCCTTTTTTCTGTCTTCGGCGGCTTTGCAGGGGTAATTGCATCAACGTCAATGATATCGTCGACACTGTCGTCGATTTCAATGACATCATCAATAGAATTTGTAGCTAGGTCGACATCGCGAACTGAAAAATTGCCTCCTGTCATTGCCTGGCAGCAACAACGCCAAGGAATACCTACCAGAACTGTTTCTGAACTGGTGCGGGTCTCATTAAGAAATAGTTGCCCTTGTCTTCAATGCAAGGGTTTATATAAGACGTGTGACACATCGATACATTCGCATTTCTCGTTTCAAAATGCGCTTGCCTCGCCCCACGTTAGTCAGCCTCGTCGCTATGGGCTTCTGCTAGAAGAAAGGCTTTCAATCGAGCCTCATTGTGGAAGAAGGCAAGGCGGATTAGAGACGCAACGCGACGAGAAGACTCTTGTGAAGACTCTTGTGAAGACTCTTGTGAAGACTCTTGTGAAGACTCTTGTGAAGACTCTTGTGAAGACTCTTGTGAAGACTCTTGTGAAGACTCTTGTGAAGACACCGCGCCTATCCCACGCCTATCTTGTGTCATACCGCGGTGTGCGCTGCTTCAAGTGGTGTACAGTATTTGTGAAGAGTGCATGGGTGCATTACAGTATCCCAACACCGCACCTTGAAAAATTCCGAAAAGAATGGTGAACAGTTTTGAAATTAATACGGAAAAACGGTCGGGCTTGTGATACCACCCAGTGCCCGTAGAGCATACGTACACCGTACAGTATTCCGTAATCGGATCATACTTGAGATATTTTTTGAAAGGTCATCCTGTACCAGGCTCGTACAGTACAGTATGATCTGGTACTACCAGCATCTCATCGAGCCGCCTCCAAATGAGATTAGTCTCTCGTAGTCTCTAAAATCGTTTGTCTATTGTTTTTGACTTTGACTGTAGAGTTGTTCCTAAACAAGCGCAGGAGTAGGGCGCATCTTTTTGAAGGGCAAGAGGAGCGAGTTCAGTGATACCCTCCTCGGCTGTTGACATAGTGAAACTGAAGTGACAAAATCCCCCAACACTTTCGCACTACCCTCGTTGCTGGAGATTTCGCATGTGGAAGAATGATATCTGCTTGGGTCGCCACCACCCCTTTTGCACCCTGTGGAACTGGAGCGGCACAAGGTACAAAGAAACGTTGTAATTTCCTGAGCACGAGGCGCAATGGTCTCCGTCCGCCGAATGCAGGTGCACCACGTCGTTCTCGAGGGGCACTGCGGATGGCGGATGCAGAGAGCGAGATCTTTCAATTGCCAATTATCAGTGTCGTTCACGAAGAGAACATGCTCTGCCCAGGCGAAATTCGGGATGTTGCGCTCGACTATTTTTTCTTCCATTCCATTTTGAATGAGGGTGGCACAATGTATGGCATCGTACATGCCGACGAGTGGGACCCCTCCGGAGAACGCAGTACCAGGGGGGTTGTTATGAATGTCTTAAGCATTGAAAATCTACTGCAGAACAGCAGCGCGGAAACGGGTCAGGAAGACCCAGACAAGCTTCTTCCTCGAATACTAGTCGGATGTAGATGCAGTGGCCGGTTTGATGTGCAGCGTGTGGTAGATGGAGTTCTCGCAGAAGATGCACGTCCAGACTCTATCGTCTACAGCCATGTTAATGCCATGTGTACTCTCGTGAGGGACTTGGGAGCCGAAAGTATTGCGGATCGCCAAAAGCTGGCGACATTAGAATGGGACGCATGGAATGCCTGCAGGGAAGTTGCCTCTCTTATAAGAAAGCTTGCCCCTCCAAAAGGAAAAGCTCCTTTAATTGAACAGGAGCTTTCTGTGTGGGCCCCGGCCGACTATGACCGAGATATTTCTGAGGGCGAGTGGGCAAAGACCCCCCCTCCAACGAGAGAGGTCTTTTGCCGAAGAGCAGAGTCGTTTAGTTTCGGGGTTCTTCGATGCATGGAGAGCGAGGGAGAAGTAATGAGAGAGGCACGGCTGACTACCAGTACTGTGCAGCGACTGGAAATGGCAATTGACATGGCGGAAAAGAGGCAAGCGTACGTGAAGGCTCAGCTCAGCCTAAAAAATACATTGGGCTAAAGGTCAGGTATTGCTTTGGTGCACCTCGACGCACAACAATCATCAAGTGCGGAGTATAATATATGAACATAACGAGATTAACAAAGTAGTATCCCTACAGCCCAGCCTTCCCACTCCCCAATGCCAGCTAGATGTGTCCGGTCGGGTGCGATCAAAGAGATTTTCAGGGCTTTAATGTTGGCTCTGGTTTGCATCTACGAATCAGGAATTTCTAATTCTACTCTACGTACTCCGACGGCAAAGTCATCGTTGACAAAAGGGCGGCCTGATTCAGGTTGCATTAAGTTTCACGCGTCATGTTCTTCAGGCTTGTAATCTCCGGTCTCACAACCGATGCGAGGAACGGGTGACGTCGTAGGTGGGCTGGGGTTGGCCGTTCAGTAGGGTCCCAGACCCAGCAGGTCTTCAAAAAGTCTCGGAGGACAGGACTCAACTTCTTGGGGATTGGCGGCATGCGAGCTTGTGTCATTTTGAAGAGCGCAACATGAGGACGCATGTTGTGATAAGGACGTCTCCCAGTTGCTAACTCGAGTACGGTGCAACCTAGGGACCAGATGTCCACGGATTTGTCATATGGCCGACCTTCGATCATTTCGGGCGCGATGTACCAGGGAGTGCCGACCAGTGCGTTTCCTGTCATTGTAGGGACGTCTACAGCGGAGCTCACCCCGAAGTCTGTTATCTTGATCACGCCATCGGGGTTGACAAGTATGTTGGCTGGTTTGACGTCTCGGTGAGTAACGCCGCACTTGTGTAAATAGTCAAGTCCATCCACAATTTGTTGTGTAATACAGGCGACCATGTGTTCTGGGAACTGACTTATCTGCGATATATGATCCGCTAAAGACCAGCCGGGAATGTACTCAGCAACTAGGTTGAGCTCACCGTTTTCTCCGAAAAAGCAGCCACGGTAGCTGACAATGTTCTTGTGATAGAGTCCATCCCAGATTCTTTGTTCTTTGATGGCCCGGCGCGCAGCTAGCTCGGCCTTCTTCGCAGCGTCTGGGGTAGCAGAGTTTAGGGGGTGGAAACGCTTCACAGCAACAAGCTCCCCATTTCGCATGTTTTTTGCAAGATAAACAGTTGCAAAACCACCGCGGCCGAGGGGCACTCCCATTTCATATACATCTGCACCATCCTCGCTCGAAAGAACACTGATTCCATCACTAGAGCTGGAAACGCTGCCCCCGACCATTTCGTTCGGCGGACGTGTGACTGCATTGCACACAGCTGACCAGACAGCGAGCACCCAGTTTCCGTCTCCTCCTTGTTCCTTGCCAGTGGAATCGATTACCTTACAACGGGGAATATCAGCGACATTATGAAAGTCATATGGGCCTTGTGGGACCCCTCTCCCTGCTATAGGACTGCAGCGTGCACTCTGCACTAACCGATTTTCGCTAGGGTCCGAGGTGGGTGCGGCGGGGATCTTCTCTGTTCTCGGCCGCCTCTGAACCCCATTTGTGCTTCGTCCAGCCACTTGAGTAGAAAGTACAGGAATTCGCGGAGGTCGGCCCTTCCTCTCTCTCTCGAGTCTCTCCCTGTGTGGTACCGGTCTCTTCACCGAAAGTAGTCTTCCGGACTGTCTAAATGCGCCAGCGGCAGGACTTTTCATATCTGGAACGCTGTTGGGGATCTGTGCGTCCTCCATCGCTAGTGGTCCAGCCTGAAACAGATACTCCTTCGATCTAGCTCCAAGACCTGCAATAGTCTGCGGAAAGTCGTCCTTCCTCTCTGTGCTCGCTTCAACCTTGATTCTTCGCCCAAGATCATACAGATGAGCAGTGCATCGACCTTGGCAAGTATCTTGGCGAATCTTGATCCCTATTTCCCGAAGCACTGATGCGCGGAAACCGTGCCCGCCCTGAGCAATGATGAGCAACCCTCGGAAAGCCTCTGTCTTTACCTGCTGCGGGTTTTTGCTCTCATCGTCGCCATACGCATCAATGAAGGCCATCACACCACCGCGGTTGATCAAAGCCTGAGAGGCCTCCTTACTTCCTACGCACAAGTTGCTCGTGGTTCTCAGCAAGTCAATGCTTAAAAGCGCGGCTTTCTGTGTTTTGATGCGGGCACATGTTGTCAAGACCCTTGCTACCATTTTCTCCGTGCCGTTTGCCGAGTTGATCGCCTCCCGTCCAATTCTCGAAGTAGCAATATTGCCCAGAAAGCGAGTCGCCTCCGACAAGATCTCCTCATCGTTGCTCATTTCGATAATCCTCAACATGATGGCAATGCAGCCCTCCGCAATGAGCAACATGAGCCACTTGTGGTCTAGGCTAAACTCGGCTAGCGCCCTGCACGCATGGAACTTGCACGCCAGGTCATCACTCTGCTGGGCGGCCTCGCTGAGAGCGGATAGGCCGTTATGCTTCCGGATGTAAGCCTGGAAAGTGATACCCCAGCGAGCAAAGTTGGCGAGGGCCGCGGCGCACTCGACGGCTTCCTCCCCTGGCTTACGGTGGACGGAATCTCTCAAGCACAGGGCAAGGAGCCGGACGACATCCGAGTCGCGGGCCAGGATAGTGGCGTTGCTTTCTGCAAACGCAGCAACGTTACGCATGGCGCGTGCTGAAAGGCGCCAGGCATCGCGATAGGAGAGGGTCTCACTCCCGGAGCGTGAGCGAGGCATAGATTTGAGTGCAGCCTCAGCGATGCTGGAAAACGGTGGGTGGATGAGGTGTGCAGCGAGGTGTGCGTCAACAGAGAGACGTGCGAGCAGCATGGCACAGACGCGAAGCAGGGAAGGGCATCTGTGGCCGAGGGCGGCGTGCAGGGAGTTGCGGAGCTTTTCGTCGGCGAACAGGGCCTGACGATCCGAGGGAGCTTTGGCGGCCGCTTCGGCCATGCGCTTGAGCGCAGACTTGAGGTGGGAGAGACGCGAGCAGGTGCCCGTTGAGGAGGCAGAGGAGGAGGAAGAGAGAGAGGTGCGCCCGGGGTTGGAGGGGACATTGCCGGAGGCGTTTTCTTTGTTCCGGACTGGGCGGGAGGAAGGAGCGGGGGGAGGGGCTGCCGATGAAGCATGCTGGTGGAGCTTGGGGGTGGGGTGCGGGTGCGGGTGGTGGCGCAGAGGAGGATTGCGTTGCGAGTTCATGGCTGTGGGGGGGGGAGAATTGGTTGAAGGCTTTGAAACTTGGGCGCCACCAGCCGCTGGCGGATGGGAAGGAGAGCTTATGTCGCAGGAAGAGGACATTGGTTTAGCATGATGGTGAAGAAGAGATGTTTATGAGTGTTTGAAGAGGTGATGCGAGGGTGAGTTGTAGAGTTGATAGAAAGAGAGCCGTTACAGAAACTTCCAATGCGCGGGTGATGATTGGGTGTATCAGCAAGCACAAGTCATCTGGCAGCGCATGACACATCATATGAGAGTGTGATTTTTAGGTAATTTTGAGGTATTCCTACCTTCTCGAGCTTCCCATCGCCTGATCCGTCATTGTCACCCCTTTGCAATCGTGTCGACATCCAACGGATCTCTTGGGCAACGGTCCTCCCCTCCCGCCCATGCCCTTCTCCGCGACCAGCGGCTCACGCATGGGCAGCGTGCTTGGTTAGGGGGCCCGCTCTAGCTGTGCCTGTACGCTATCCCCTACTCAATACGTTCTCGACAACGACTTTCTACTTGCGTTCTTGTCAAGTCTAGCCCCGCATTCAAAGTTCACGTTTGCAAAAAAGACGCAGAGCTACTGTATCTGTGTAATCTACTGACTTGCCTCCTGGGGGAGGACGACCAGACTCCACACCGCCCGCATTCATCGCGCCCCCGCTCTTTGGGATATGCTTGTAGACAAGTTTATCAACGGCACTGCACGTTACGCGAGCGAGATCTAGGCCACGCACTAGTCCACCCCATCGTCCACCTTTCATTCCATTCGATTGTCAGCTTGTTCTTGTTCTCTTCTCCGCCGTCCGAGATCCCACCAGCAGAATCGTAAGTATTCCATTGGGCCCAACTTGCGTCCCACCACTTTTGAATTTTTCCAATCCTTCACAATATCCCCCACATCCCTTGTCTGCTCCTCGCCCCCGCTTCTCAAAAACATCCTCCTTGGTTTTCCGACCTCCGCGTACCACTCCGGCTCCATCATTTCACAAGTAAACCCAAGATTCGCATAAAGTCGCTGCGCCCCATCATTCCCCGCCTCCACGTGTAGGCACACAGTTTTGTGACCCCATTCGTGCATCGCGTGCCTCTGAGCTGATCGAACAAGCACCGAGCCCACTCCTAACCGTCTGTATGGTGACGAAACTGCTAGATTCCCTATATACGGAGTTTGTTCCAAGGCACCGGGGTTTCCATTGCCCGCCGATTTTCTTTGTGCCTCTTTCTGCGCTTGTAGCGGCGTCTTTCGCACGTTTTCCTCCCATTGTCGTACCTCGTTTAACATTCCACTGGCGAGCAGACGTGGTACGTTCACCAGCCCCATTTCAATACATCCGATAACGCTTTCTGCAGTCAACGAACAAATAAAGTCAGAATCAATGCCACACAAGGAGCACAGCTGCCAAGACATACGCGCTTATTATAAACCGCTGGAACGCCTGGCACGCACCTTCTTCCTCATCTATAGCAACAAGAAGCACATGCTTCTTCGCCGTTTCTTCTAAAACGCCCTTTCGTTCCGGTTCAACTAGTCTTTTCGCGAGCTGCTCCAAAACCTCCATATAGCACAAATTTTCATACATTCCTTCAACCATCCCTAGCGCACCAACCTGTTGCAGCAACTTCAGCTCACGCAACTTTCGTACAACAGCGTCGTCCTCGCAGAAGGCACGCACCACCACCCGCGCCACGTCTCGCACATCCGCAGCTCTCGCACGCCGCACCTCGATGCCCTCCTGTGAGGTGGTCGTCGACACCATGCGCGCCATGCGCGCCGCGCACGCCCGAACAAATGGCCTTGAGCATGCTTTTCGGCAAAGGAGTCGCTTGGGAGAAGAGGAAAGCAGGCGCCAAGAAGGATTCACCGAGAAAGCGACGCCGCATGAAGCCATGGGTGGTGGGCAGTGGTAAGTGCGGACAGGGACTGATTCCCGGGGGATTAGGCTGGATGCAGATTGATTGCTTCTCAGGCGAAAAACGTTGAGTATCTTCTGCGGAAGGGCATTCGGTGGAGTCAAGTGTCTATGTCTCGTTGTTTTGCTCATTCCGTGCATGTCTGTGGCGAGGAGACTTGTTCTCACTGACCGACTGACCCTGGCCTTTCGATCATCACATGCAAAGGCTCTATATTTTTCATATAATTAGGCTTGTTCTTGTACACGTGTATCATTGGGCTCAGAGCGGATGCGCTGACCACGGAAACGAGAACAAGACTTTTTGCCTCCGCCTCTATCCTCCAAGATTGTGTTGCTCTGGACCAAGACAGCTTTGCCGTCAGACCCGCGCTTCAAGCAGGACAAGGTCGTCAGTTGGTTGCAGGAAATTTTCGTTCGTGCCTGGAATGACTTAAAAGTCCCTTGTTTCGAGACTCTTTTTGGACATAAAAAGGGATGACCTTCGACGTAGAGCAACGCCTTTGTCCCACCGGAAGGCGACATGCAATGGCCTTCTGCGCACCACGACCTTTGCCTCTCCGCAAAACTGGAGTATCCTCCGTATCATTTCGCTGTGCAATATCGAGTCCAAAAAGTGATTCCAAAGAAAAAGTGTCACCATCCATCGCCGACAAGCCATTTTCCACCTGGGCGACGTCTAACAAAATTGACATGTCGGCCGTCTCATTGACAAAGGATAAAATAGAAGCTTCAGGAACCGAAGGGCTACTTCGTGGAATGACGGCCACTACCGCTCTGAAGAAGGGCGACCAACTGATTTCAGTGTCTCGAAAACCCACCTTGCAGGTAACCTCGCTCGATGGAAAGAAATCACCGATTCCAGAACAAATATCAGGAGCAAGTTGGCAAAAGCTTCCGTGGTTTGCAAGGTTAGCATTACTACTCTTGAACGCCAAAATAGATCCTGAAAGTGACCTTCAGTTGTGGATTGAAAGGCTTCCAAAGTCATTTGACACTCCGTTTCACTGGTCCGACAAGGAACTGCTCGAACTTCAGAATCAGAAAATGATCCAATCCGTTCATGAACAGCGAAGTCTCTATAGGAGGCTTTACAACGAGATAAACGGAAATGTGGACAATGCGCTGGCAAGAAAGTTGAAGTACGATGACTTTATCTGGGCTGTAGAATGCATTCGAAGCAGGGCGTTTTCGGGGCCCTTAGAGGTGGCCCCTTTCAAGGAAAGGATCAGCCTGGTTCTTTTCATCATCGGAAACACATTGGCATGGCCGGCGATACACTTGTTACCATGGCAGAATGCGCTCAACGGTTCGTTTCATCTTCCTAAAATATATGTCTGCTTTCCGCGGCGTTTTGACGCGCTTTAAAGAATCCCAACACGATCACTGACATTTCTAATCTGCGAAACATGCTCTGTTTGTGTGGGTAAACGATCACGTCGAAGGAGGATTAACGGCCATGTTTGCAATGACTATGTATGACATTCTGACGCCAAAGATTCTAAAAGTCGTGCGTGGATTTGAATTAAAGCGCTACGCAATGACTCCGGGAATCGACATGATGAATCACAGTTCTACCGTAACTGGGAAGGCGGAGGTTTCGTACGAGTACTTCTCAGAAAAATTTGTTGTACAGGCAGGCGAGGACTACGAGTCCGGTGATCAAGTGTTCATCTCGTATGGGGCTCAAGGCAATGACGCTTTTCTACAGTACTACGGTTTTGTCGAAGAAGGAAACTCTGCGGAAACATATACATTCGGAAGAGAAATCGAGCAGGTCTTGGGGGTGCCGACAGGCTCACTGGTTGCAAGGACAAATTCTGGATTCGACGATTCATCTATCCGAGCAGTGGCAAAGAAACTGGGAGGCAGTAAAGAGTCAGCTCGAAAAGTCTTGGCCGAACTCTGCAATGCTGAATTGAGCGGTATGGAAACTAGTCTGGAAGAGGATTTAGAAATCCTGAAGCGCGACGACAGAAGTGACCCTCGTTTGCAACTTGCTCTCCGATACCGAATTGAGAGGAAACGATTGCTTATGGCTGCAGCGCAATGACTTGTACATACTAAAGGAGTGTTTTTTTTTTTTTTTTTTGCCGTAAACAACACTAGGGATTAGTTCAGTCCTCAACCATGGGCCTGCTTCTCAAAAAAGACCTTGAGAACGTCACGAGCACGGCTTATCTTGATGAAGACTTCTGTGGCATCCGGATCTGGCGTCTTATCTGGATGCACGGGGGCACATCTTGTGCGATACTGGGAGTTGACTTCCTTCATGGACGGAGGAATTGCTTCAAAGCCAAGAATCTCGCAGGCATCCATGACCGTGAAAGCAACCTTGCCCTTTTTCTCATTGAATTGTTCAATTCGTTCGAGATATTGCTTGGTGTAATCCTTGACCCATTCAATAGCACCGTCATGTGCGTAGCGTTTGCAGAAGCCGTAACGAACTCCGTCACGATACTGCATCTCGGTCTGAACATTACCGGTGTCGTAGTAAGTACGCCAGTGGCCCCATTTCTTGCAGGACATAGTGACCTCATCTTCGACCCAAAAGACCGATTCCGACTTTAGCCTTTGGTTTGGCCAGAAATGCTTGCGATATAGATACGGCTGACCAACGGCAAAGTGGACGTCAACACGACAGACTCCATCGATATCAAAGTGCTTCTCCTCAATCATGCGCTGGTATGGCATGCCGTTTGCATCGACACGGTTTTGATAAGTGCGAAAGTATCGGGCCATTCCATTGTCATGGTATTCCTTCTGGTTCACAAGACGGCCGTCGTCCTCGTCCGAGTCAGAATCATCGTTGTCAGAGCTATAGTTGAAAAAGGTGATCTGCTGCTGCTTGCGAGTGATGACGCGGGCAAGCTGGAGCTCCTCGAAGCCCGTCTTGTCGAGGTCAAGCTTGTCTAGTTGAGCTTGGACAACTTGCTGATCGGTTGCCTCGGAATCTCCATTGATCTTAGCTTTGTCGAACATGATTTGTCGTTGCGAGGTAATGAATGCAAAAGAAGTGTACCAGAGAGTGGGAAGGAAGTTGTATGGGAGGCGAGAGGGATGAAAGGTGCAAGAATGTGGTACAAGGTCAGGAGTCACGAATCGGAATGGCTGGGGTAAGAGTCGAGTATGTGGCGTATTTAAGGTGGGACGGACTCGCGACGAACGATAATATGGGCTGTATTCGGTACTAAATAAAGTATGGTTGGTACACAGATATGAGTCGGCTACGCTCAACGGGATGTATGATGGATGCGCGTTCAGCGAGCGAGATGGGGTGGTGTCTCTGTTTCAGCATGCCGGGTGCGCACTGGGCGCGGCATTAGTTCGCAAGACACAGGCATTGTCTCGTTGTTTGAAGAACGGCTGTCGCGCAAGATTGGGGCGGTACCATTGTTTTTGGATACGCTGGGGGGGGGGGAGGGGGGGTGTTGCATTGGGGGGAGGCGGAACACGCGCCAGTAACATATTTTTGATTGCAGTAGTGCTGGCTTCGGAAGAGAGAGTGTGACAAGACGCGCTTTGAGCCGCACACAAGAACAAGACACATGAACTGCACATACGAACCGCACACAATAAACTTTTGGACACACGACGATCGTGAATTACCGTACTTCTAACTCCGTTGCGAACCCAGACTGTTTCAGGCAACGGCATTCTGCCAGATGCCGACCCCTCGCTCTGTGCGCCGGCGCCTTGCATCCAAGGACAGATCCTATCGATTTTTTTTCCCCCAGAAATTCCATCATTTCTGCTACCTTCCACGCTTTCTGTACGCGTTGCTCACGACAGAGGCAAAATGTTGCAGCGGGCGGACGAGGTGGCGGATGATGGGTGGGGTCATGCTACAGTAAGTCGGAACTTGAAGAATTAAATGTCTGAAATGGAAAGCGACTACCCTTCGAAGGGTAAAGCCCTACGACCGATTTCGAGTCTCGCCATGGTGAGAGACGTGAGAGACCATGCAATCGAGAAACTCATCGGTGTTGCGAAGGACTTCTTAACCTCAACATCTGTTCCCTCTCGCCCCGCTGGTCGCGAAGAGACCTCCCTTCGATATACACACCCCGCAAATCCCTACCAAGTGCCTCGGCTTCTTCGCAATGGACATACTGTACGTAGAGCACGTGCATGCTGGCATCTGTTTATTTATCACAAATACGGTAAGCACTCCGGCCTTGCCTTGTCTCAAAGGAAACTGACTCAAGTCCACCACTACACTACAGTCCATATCGCTCAATAGTGCAGTACCGTGCCACGCGGTAGAATACTGCACTATTGGCGTATTGCAATACTCAAGGGGAGGATCTCGAAAAATCACTTTTACAAAGTGGTTTTATTTTAACAAAAAAAACCCGTCGCAATTGATTGTCGAACTTTTGTTCTCTATTGAGCGTGATACGCTTGCAGCAATGCACGCCTTGCTTTTCTAAGATGCATAAACGTGTCAAAAGTCGTGACAAGCGGTTTTGACCTGCACTATTGGCGGTTTGCACTACTCACAACTGCACTATTGAGGAGATACTCTCTGTACCTTGAACTGTTCATGTTCAATAACTTGCTAATAACAGGCTAATAACATACCTCACCGACCGGGAGCGCAGCAAAATCTGATGCTACAGTAGTCTAAAAGTTTACCTCTAATCCGCCTCTTGCTTCCTCGATGCAATCCCTACATGCCCACCGCCCCTACCTTATACTACTGTACTCACATCCGCGGTCCTTGGCCGCCATCCCTCTCCATAACCATAGAGCAGACACCAGCTGCCACCGGCCGACAATGCGACCGTTCGCAGAAGAAACCCTTTTCGACTCCTGGTCTGCCCTTCTCTACATCCGCCACAACCGGGGTCTCACCTCCTCCGGGCTTCATCCAGCCTCTGCAGGGCTTACAAAGCGAAAACCCTGCGCAGTGCGGTAGACTCTGCGGCGAATAGCCCTCGGTTCGCCCACTTCTGACCGTAGTGGCAGTTGCATAGACCACGACGTACGCCCCCCCACTTCGGATACTGACCTCATACCCCTGTGCCCCTCAACCTGCGTGCCTCGTGTTCTGATTGTCATCTTCATCTCGACGCTGTCTCTGTTATGGTACTCGTGGACACAGGCCATCCTTAGGAAAGGATTGTCCCGTGATCTTATGTCGTCAATTCTTGCTGTCGGGTCTTCCTCGTGTGAGGCTCTCAGCAGTGCGTGCGTCCACTGCGTGCCGTTGCCCACGTAGTAGCGTTCCGGGCCGATGCAAGCAAAGCCAGATATCTTACAGTCATACCCGCTGACTCCAGCCATCCATGCGTAGTTCCATGCTGTCACAAGCTTGGCAGTAGACCTGAACCTAGACTTTTCGAAGTCCTCGTGACTGACTTTAACTTTCAGCGCGTATGGGTTGTTGTCACCCAAGGCTGTAACTGGCAGTATCATCACTGGGACACCAGGCGCTCCCAACACTTGCACATCAATGTCAAACTTGCCCGGCTCAGTCGCACTTTCGACCATCTTGTAGCCACTTTGGCGCGTTTGCCCTGCTCTGGTTTTCAACACCAGGCCCGTTACTCCTCTGGGTTCAGAATAACCCGGCACGTAGGTATATCCTGCTGATTCGCTCGTCACTGGTACATACTTCCGGACCGTTTCCGCTGCAAGTAGTGACATTTGCTGTGCAGGCCGGACTAACTCTCCCCTCGTTGAGTGAATGTCTTCTGGCCAATCCTCGTTATGGTATCTCATCACTCTAATGAACATCCCTGTTTGATAAGCCTGAGTGTAGATCACACAAGCCAGCAAGTACCGTTCATAGTTAGAAGTCACATTCTCGAACTCTCTAATCCCGCCGCCAGTAAGGCAGGCAGGCATGTCAGAGACAATCTCTGGAACACGCCCCCGGCAGCTACGGAACCGCGGTAGACGCACTTCCCTACGCATGACTACATGAGCTAGCCCCTCAACATTATCAGCAAACATCGAGCATGAAACTCCCGCCAGTATAGTCGAGGCTACACTAAACTGTTCGTGCAGCCTGTTGATCTCCACGTATGCTCTGAGTGTTGAAAGCACTGCCTTGCTAGTGAACGTCGTCTGCACTTGTGCCCCCATGAGATCATTCTGGAAGTACTTCTCCAACCATTCGTTCGTGGTAAATGTATTGTCCGTGCGGAACACCACTGTCCGGTCGGTTAGTACAGGCAAGTCAAAATCGAGCAAATACCTCGTAGATCGCCGCCACTTGCACATCATGAAATATAAGATCATGCACTCCTCCTCCGCTAGCCCCATTGCGTTGACGACTACAGCATCATCGTCTATCAAGTAGTTGTCTCTGATGATCAAAGAAACTCTAGCCTCCTTTTCGCGTGGCACAGGCAGGAACGTCGCCTCCTCCGGCTCAGCTGTGCCAAACTCTTCGTTCATGGTATTTAGATCGATAGATACATGGCCGTCGTTGTAAATATCGATCTCACCCTTAAGCGTAGATGCACTGCCCAAATCGTTCTCCTTCAGCTTGAGTAACATCCCGAACCTCATGAGATTAACCATTAAAGCAACTTGGTTGTCGCCTCAGGAACATCGCATCAGTTGATTCGTGATCACGCCAATGTTGCTGGACGGCACACCAGTCCAAGTGCGTACTGGGTTTAAGACCTGCTTCATACTGACGTCCCCCTGGGGCGTTAACATGCCGATGTTGAACCCACTGTAGTCACATACCCCATCAAACAATTTGCCGCTCGACGCGCCAAGATATGTCATCTGCTGGCGCATGTCGAAGAATCGCTGTTGAATGGTACCCAAACCAGTGAGCTGAGCATTCACTTCTCCCACCATGGTGAACATCTCGTTAACGTGACCATATTCGATCCCGGGCCTGTGATTCTCGATAAATATGTCCGATATGAAGGTGTCCATATTGAAGTATTATAATCAATTCGCGGTAAGGGGTTTGATAGTGCAATTGGCCGTACGTCAGGCTCCCGCAAGGCTTGAAGAATTCCCCCGCCGCCTCCCAATGCATCATGAATTGTACTTTATGTCAGTTTGTCGCTTGCAATGTGGTTGGAGACTCGTTTCTAAAATAGATCCCTCGCAACGGCAAACAGCAACGCATTTCCCCAAATTCATCCGGGCCAAAAAATGTGATATTCGAATTGCAAAAGCCCGACGAAAAACTGGGCTCATTTGCCACATACGTACTGTAGACGCTAGAGAACCTGGCCATGTTTGTCTGCTAATCGGAATTTGAGCGTCCTTGCTGGCACTCATTGGTGTCGTGAAACGGCAGGTGCATCCTATTTTGGAATCCCTGTCTGCACTGCACGTAATGAGAAAGACATAAAGCAGAGGAGAGGAAGGTGAACACAAAGGAGAAGAAGTAAAGATATGAAAAGGAAATAGCCCGGCGATGTGGGAGTAGATGAGTGAGAAAGACGGAAAATACTGTGGTTGTGGTGGAGGTCAATGGACGAAGAAAAACGAGAATCATGCGCCTTGCGAAGCTATGTACTATGCTGTAGAGGAAGAAGAGTGTAGGGTGATCGCTTAAGTTCTTCCGCTTCACTTTTCATCTGGTGGCGGCGGAACTCTTGTCACGGATTTTAATACAGAATACTGCAGTACCAAGGGTACTGTGTGCAGCGTCTTCCCAGCGTGGACAGATGCAACATATCGAACATCAAATCTCCTGAGAACAGCATATTTTCAGAGGCAACGGCTGATATCTCTGAATCACAAGAACACCACTTTGATTGTGGTCGTTATAAGAGCGAGCAACGAGGGAGGCCGAACTTTGATGGACGATTGGATAGAAACAAGAACACGGCGGCTCGCCAATATAGTTCAAAAACGCTGCTGTGGGCCACAGAACCGCCTCTATAGTCGCGTAAATGCGATTTCCCTTGAAACAAAGTGCTGTTCATTGACAGCATCTCACGGATCTTGAAGCGAATGCCTCGAATTTGTTCACCACACATGTGCAACCACCGCATCATTCTTTGAGGACGCTTTTGAGTGTACCATACCTCCTGACCTCAGCCCATTTTCGCTAGACTACAAACCAGACGACTAGAGGTACCATCGGCCATTTCGGGATGCTGTGCTCTCGGTTTGCGGGTATCTAAGTGTGTTGTTAGCATGACGTCTATTTTAAACATTAGCCTGATCTTCTCGTGAAAAATCGCAACCTTGCTTCGACGAAAAGTTATTCTTTTAAATACACTCCTGTTCTGGAGGCACATTCTAGTAGTTTTTTTAATCCAGGGGGTCTTGAATGACTGTAATTGCCATCATACCCATCAGAGCAGTCACATACTATAGCACAACTCTGGACGAATTACTGCAAATTTCTATTCTCTGCAGAATCGCAGATTTCTTTTATGAAGCGTTCGATGAGCGGGTTGAGCTTTCTTCAAGGGGTTTCGAGTGAGGTGAGAGTAATTGAAATCAAGTGTCAGAATGATCACAACAATCGCAGTTACCCATCTGAGTCATGATTCTAGTAGGGGATAGATCTCAAACAGATTGATTCTATTTTTTTAGAACGGTAGTCCTTAGCCATATTTTATTTGTGGCAGGAGCGTGTATCCAATAAGTTGAGGTAGTATTAGATGTTGTCTTCATTAGCTTTAACAGCATTCATACCCCGAGAGCGTAGCGTGCTATTTACTCGAGTACTTGACTCGTTTCATTTCTATCTAAGGACAGAATTTGATCCAAGTCTGAGCCATAAAAGTTACCCCTTGTGCATAAAGCAACACACTGTCTCATGTTTCCATTATCCTGACATTAAATATAGATTTCCTCATAGTTTTTATCGGGCATTCATAGTTATTCTTCCTTGGAGTCTTGTTCCATTCGATAGAATTTTCTTTCTAATCCTTCCCTTGCGTTAGATTTCTATTGCATTTTGATAACCAGGGTGAGAAAGGAGAGCAAGTGTCGGTTCGGCAAAAACACGTCAACAGTTTATATGCGGTGCGAGAAGATAGACTGTCATTTCTGCAACGTGGCATATGTGTACCAAATGGCCCAAAATTTGAACTGAAAAAAGAGTTGAAAGTAAATGTTTGGACACCTGGTGTAACGTGGGCTTGGCGAACGGGCCTTCTACGCCCCCCCACTGTAGTGCCCAGAGCCGCTGGCCAAGGATGCGCTGCATGGAGCCAATTGTTCGAGCCCCGCGTCCAGAGCGGTAGCGTCATTGCTTTGCCGTCCTACGCAACCTTCCCTTTTCCCCATCCCTTCATCCTCATCCGTTGGAGTGGTCCCCATTTCTATACCCCGTAGCTAGCTCCCTCTCATTACCGGACAACGGGTTCTTCATCTAACCCACCCCCTCCCTCAGCACTTCCCACCTGCTGACCTGCACCGTTCCGCCCTCTCACTCCTGTTGCCGCCGCAGCTGCCAACTTCACACTCCTTCTCGCGCATTTCGTTCACATCAGCAACCCATAATACATCATGGGACGAGGCGGATCCGATGACCTCGGCACTGTCAAGAAGGGCGTCGTCCGTCAGGTCGCAGGACCAGTTGTGACGGCCGATGAGATGGATGGTGCCGCCATGTACGAGCTTGTCGCTGTCGGCAACCTCAAGTTGCTCGGTGAGATTATTCGCCTCACTGGATCCTCGGCTACTATCCAGGTCTATGAGGAGACAGCCGGTCTCACAGTTGGCGATCCTGTTGAAAGAACTGCTGCTCCACTTTCAGTCGAGCTTGGACCAGGTCTGCTTGGAAACATTTTCGATGGTGTCCAGCGCCCGCTCCAGAAGATCGCCGAGTTCACTCAAGACATGTTCATCCCAAGAGGTATCTCCGTCCCTGCTCTCGATCGCACAAAGCAGTGGGAATTCACTCCGAACTCGGAGATTGACATCGGCGATCATGTCACTGCCGGTGACGTTTTTGGTACCATTCCCGAGACCGCTCTCCTAGTCCACAAGCTCATGGTACCGCCGAATCAGATGGGTACCGTGACGTGGCTTGCTTCCGCTGGATCCGTAAGCTGCAGTTCGCCCTTCATTACCACCCTTGGATGTTCTATGCACTAGTGTGGTCTGTTCCCTAGATTTCGCTTCTCACAGGCATCACACTCTAACCACTATCTCATCCACTTTTTGAAATGTGATTTGTTTGTGCGATAACAGTATACCATTGAGGAAACCATGATCAAGATTGAGTTTAACGGAGTCGAGAAGAGCTACAACATGATCCAGAAGTGGCCTGTTCGTGAGCCGCGCCCGGTGACTGAGAAGTTGCGTGCCAACACCCCACTTCTAACCGGACAGAGAGTCTTAGATGCCCTCTTCCCTTCTGTCCAGGGCGGGACCTGCGCAATCCCGGGCGCGTTCGGTTGCGGAAAGACTGTCATTTCCCAAGCTCTCTCGAAGTTCTCCAACTCTGATTGCATTGTTTACGTTGGATGGTATGTCGGCCCTTGTTTTCTATCGTGCAGTGCGCTGGCTTAGTTTGAGTCGTTTGATGTATTGTTTTCTAACGAAATGCCGTCACCTTCTGTGTTATGTTCAATCTATGCAGCGGGGAGAGAGGAAATGAAATGGCTGAAGTCCTGAAGGATTTCCCGGAGCTGACCATCAAGGTTGATGACAAGGATGTATCTATCATGAATCGTACATTGCTTGTCGCGAACACGTCCAACATGCCTGTGGCTGCTCGCGAAGCGTCGATCTACACCGGTATTACGATCTCAGAATACTTCCGCGACATGGGTATGAACGTAGCTATGATGGCGGATTCTACTTCTCGATGGGCTGAAGCACTCCGTGAGATTTCTGGTCGTCTCGCTGAAATGCCTGCTGATTCTGGGTACCCCGCGTATCTTGCTGCACGCCTTGCGTCTTTCTATGAGCGAGCTGGTAAGGTGACATGCATTGGAGGTCCAGACCGGGAAGGTTCTATTACAATTGTTGGCGCCGTATCTCCCCCAGGTGGAGACTTTTCTGATCCTGTTACGAGCGCCACCCTTGGTATCGTACAAGTGTTCTGGGGTCTGGACAAGAAGCTTGCACAGCGCAAACATTTCCCGTCAGTTAATTGGTTGATCTCGTACTCCAAGTACCAAAAAGCGCTTGAGTCGTACTACGAGGCCAACCATCCGGAATTTGTTTTCTTGCAACAATCTATTCGTGAAATTTTGCAGAAGGAGGATGATCTGATGGAAATCGTGCAGCTTGTCGGAAAAGATTCACTTGCTGAGAGTGACAAGGTCACACTCGAAGCGGCAAAGATCATTCGCGAAGATTATCTTGCACAGAATTCCTTCACAAGCTATGATCGATATTGCCCGTTCTACAAATCTGTTGGGATGGCGAGAAACATCATTCACTTTTACACTCTTTCTAACAACGTGATAGAGGCAACTGCATCCTCCGAAAGTAAGGTGACTTTTTCATTGATCAAAGAGCACATGAGCGACTTGCTGTACAAGCTAAGCAGCATGAAGTTCCTTGAACCGGCGGAGGGAGAGGAGGCCGTGATGGCTAAAATTGATGCCGTGCGAGATGAGTTGACGGCCGCATTCCGCGATGTGGAGGATCTTGCCTAACTGTCTTACACGCACCCTATTGATTGATTACACCTATTTTCGGCGGAAGACTCTAGAAGCATCCACCCAGGCTAGCTCAGTAACGCTTAGTAAACTTTTGTTTCTTACCCCGTGGAAGTTTTTAGTCGTCGCAGGGGTACTGAATTCATTTAGATCGAGGTGAGGTGTCTCTGACGCTTTCACAAACAGGAGGGAAACTGAAAGTTGCTCTAATCTTGACATGCGCACAACAGTGCAAAAAAAGTGTACGGTGCGGTAGTGTCCTTTGTCTTCGTGATGTTGCGGTGTTCTCCCGCTTAACTGATCATACTTTGACGATGTGTACAGTACGGCCGTTGAGAATTCTCGAGACAGTATGTAGAGCGAAACTCGAATATAGTTGACTCTTTCAAGGCATTTTTCAGTTCCACTCTCGTTGGCAGTGTTCCCTTCACAGCGCACCCCCAAGAAAGCTCGAAGCAGAGGTGAAGTCACAGACAGTACAGACATGTCTGTGACTTCACCTCAGCTTCGAGCTTTATTGGGGGTGCGCACACTCCAGTATGACTGCAGTATAACTTGCTCCCCAGCTACAGTACACAGTATGCTTCTGAACGGATCACCAGTGGTTGTTGTGAAATCGGCGCATTGCCGCGAGTGTGGACGTCCACTCTCACAACAATACGCAGATCTGTCGGCTCACCCTGGAGCTTTCCTCACGGCGCGAGCTGGGGTGCGTTCGCTGCCAAGGAGGGACGACTGGCATCGCAAGGGGGAATAATAGTCGACAGGCACCGTGTGGACGCACTACAGTGCGGCCTACGCATTAGTGCCGCCCCCATGCGAGACCCCAAAAATGTGCACTATTGGGAGACGGCATTAGTAAGTGAAGTCGTCACATCTGTCTGCATACACTCGGTAATTAACGCCTGCTTGCTCCGCGTTGGTTCTCTGTCGTGTTTCGCAGTGAGAAGTGCGCGCTTTGCAGACCTTAGATTCGATAGAGCGTCTGGAACTTGGCACTTAGTCGCCAAAAGTTCCAGCTCTCCAAACAGTTTCGCGATCTCGACGACATGGGGTATAGTTTTTTTTCTATTGCATTTTCTGCGCTCTTATCTTTATCACTTGATTGCATTTCAGGCGGATCCTGCACCACCTGAACCGTCTCCAAAAAACATCCATGGCATCGGTGGAAGCATGACAGCCGGAACCGTATGACACGCGGCACTTTTCGTGTTCGTGCGCTGGGCCTGCACTATTGGGAGGGTGGCACAAAAAACAGCACTAATGCGTAGGCCCCACTGTAACGGAAAAATTAACAAGTGATCGCTACGGACTTGTGACATGTGTACAGTACGGTGTGCCAATAGAGAAGGCAGAAGATACATATATATACGATACAATGTATCGGATACATATATATATACGAAGGAAAGAATACATTTGGCTGTTCCACGCTCGATCGCAAGGCACTCGCCTTTGACAACAGCTTTTCTTCCGTACATGCGTGCACGTGCCCGCAAGTGTGGAACCGTGTGCTGTAAATTACTCTTCTGGCGCGAGGCGGCGCCCAATTTTAGATCTGGCGTACAGTACTGAAGAGCAGAAACGATTGGTCAGAGCCCACTGTACACAATAAACGCAGGACGGACGGAAGCATAAAACGAGGCGCCAGTGCTGTATTCCAGTCGCCAGTCGCATTACTGTATCAATGCATTTACCACGCGTTTTGCCGCACACCCGCTCCTGTTTTGCTCCCCGGATCACACCTTCATCTCAAAAGAGACGACAGTAGGAAAAACCTCCGCTTGGCCAAAATTGACTTTACGTCTCTGTACCTCGCATAACTACTTCTTGGTCAACATCTATTAGAAGAGTGCGTCATCACTGTCCATTTGTCCTCACCCAACCACCTCATGATACGCTTCCCAGGTTGCTCGTACTGCATGCATGACCCCTATCCTAAATGCCTGTACATTTAGCTTGCCCTTGACAGATGACCTCCCTCTTATCGTGAAAAGAGGACAGTCCAACCTATTGTTAAGCTACTTTGAATTTCAACACATCACAGACAGTAGCCCTCTTTAATATGTCAAATAGCTGTACAACGCTTACAAACACCCCGTTCCTACCATTTTCACTCAATACATTGTAACAATTTCCACCACACTTGCTCCCTCGTCGTGCCCACTGCCCGTCTCCTGGGGCCCCCCGCGGGGGACGGGTTGTAGGGAACGCAAATCCTCCCCGGCAGCTATGTCTCGTTTGTTCTCCATTTGTAAATTTCCTTCGCTCTGGGGGTGTTATAAGCCCGCAAACAGGGCCCACGACTTGATGTGTTTAGTAAGTGCGGACATCTTTTGCTCAACTCACCCTCAACCGTGCATCTTCGATCCCAGCACCCCATCTTCTCCTCGCAGTTCAATCCCTTGCTCTTGCTCTCCACGACATGTACAAGAGTCGCCAATCATCCACGAAACGGCCCCGTCCGCATCAAAGAACGCGACCTGCCGGGGCAAGCGCCCCGGCGAAAAATGAGAGGCCCGTGTGCAACGAGTGCCACCGTTCGTTTTCAAAGAAGGCCAACCTTATGGCCCACCTTCGAGTACGTACCCCATCCATCTAACCCGCAATACTGAACATGCTGATGTTCTTTCAAAAACATATCTCCGCGTGACGTTCCTTTATTTTTTTGGTGCTGACGGGTCACCAACTCTTTGGTGAACTCTTTGCATTTTGTTCGCAAAGATTCATACGGGGGACAAGAGATACCACTGCACCCTTTGTGGCCATGACGTAAGTACACACTCTCAATTCACTTCTCCTTTACCCCAACTACGCTTCGTAATCTCCTTGAACTAACCGCGATACCAACTTGATTTACAGTTTGTGTGGAAGAGCAGTCTGAACTATCATGCTAGAAAAAAACACAGCGACCACGAAATAGTGTTCATTCCTGGACCGGTGACGACGCTCGCGGCTATTAAGAAGAAGACTGCGGAGATATGTGACGCCCCCTCGGATTCGGATATTCAAATCCAACCAGCAGTGGATCAAGAGGCATCCGAAAGGAATAGTGTCGACAAAAATGAGGAAGAAGCGGGGCAACTTTGCGAGATCCCACACGCGACAGCAAGCTACCCGCTGGGAGGTGATCAGGATATAACCCACAGCTCAAACTTCGGAGACGAGAGACCTCATGGCTCGAGGTCTCTTGACTCATATGTGAGCCCGCATTGCGATCCCATTCCAAGTGAGACGCAGACCTGCGGACTGGGCCCTGACATTCAGAACATTGAAGGACGTTTCTACGGGAAGTGCGCCAGTGGGGAATGCGATCTTACAGGCAATCCCCATGAAGACAGGGAAGACCTGGTTGTGGCAGGCCTCAATCCGACTGAAGAAGAGGAGTGGAGCCTCTCTAAGTCGTCTCTTGATGTGCAATGTGAATCTACCAGCGGAGAGGCAGTGGAGGTGCTGCCGGTGGACAGAAACTCGTTGGCCTACTTGATGCATCCAGTCGATCAGAATATCGACTCACAGCTAGACGGCTTTCGAGAGTTGGCTTCGTCAGACTTCCTTACACAATGTTTTTGAAATCTCGTCCGTTCCCGAGCAAAGTCCACGCTCTGCCACGGAAGGTTTTGGATAAAGCCGTAGTAAATAGCTGATGGCAAAGCGCCGCTGCTTCAATAAACTGTCAGACATTTCGGGAGCACAAAATTTGAAGCGCGTTATATTGCCCCCCCACCAATCGTTGGCCTCGCGATACCCTTCCTTGTCCTCTCATAGCAAATGCATCAAAGAGTAGCCCAGAAAACTTCTGGATCCAAAAATTCTGTCTCAAGATCTATTTCCAAGGACGAGAAGCATCTTATCAACCCTATCGCTGTTTGTCTCCTGAGATCCCTAAGTGATTCTCGATCATACCACCACAGTTCAGTGTGCTGAGTCTCAAACGGACCGCAGAAGGTTTGAAATCACGAGCGCTTCGACCTTCGCCGCCCTGGTGCAGCATTTTGGGCCGCCGTTCTTCACGGCTTCACGCTGACATGCCCAAACTCACAAGGACCGGTCTCGTAGCCGGGGTAGATTCGAGCACTGGTGCCACCAAGCTGGAACTGATAGACCTCAATACCGGGGTTGTAGTTGCCCAAGCTAGACGCCAACATCCAGCGACTACCCCTCCAGAGAGTGAGCAAGATCCCCGTGCATGGTGGAATGCGCTACTTGGCTGCTTCGAAGAACTTCAACATCATCTTCCTGATGTGAAAGCCGTGTCGATCTCGGGACAGCAGCACGGCTTTGTGGCCCTTGATGGGAACAATGATCCAGTCCGGCCAGCGAAACTTTGGAACGATACAACCTCAGCGCCCCAAAGCAGGGCGATGATCGAAAAGCTCGGCCCCGCGGCGTGGGCTTCTGCTGTCGGCTCGTTGCTGACACCCGCTTTCACAATCACGTCGTGCCTCGTCGCAGGCTTTGCTGACGCGTCGGGGCACTTTCTTCCGCTTTTCTGCACACTCAACGCTACTAAGGTCACAGAGTCGATCCGGCGACTCTTAGGCGTCAGCTATGAACGACTTGACGACTTTCTAGCAACGTGATAGAGGCAACTGCATCCTCCGAAAGTAAGGTGACTTTTTCATTGATCAAAGAGCACATGAGCGACTTGCTGTACAAGCTAAGCAGCATGAAGTTCCTTGAACCGGCGGAGGGAGAGGAGGCCGTAATGGCTAAAACTAATGCCGTGCGAGATGAGTTGACGGCCGCATTCCGCGATGTGGAGGATCTTGCCTAACTGTCTTACACGCACCCTATTGATTGATTACACCTATTTTCGGCGGAAGACTCTAGAAGCATCCACCCAGGCTAGCTCAGTAACGCTTAGTAAACTTTTGTATCCTATCCCGTGGAAGTTTTTAGTCGTCGCAGGGGTACTGAATTCATTTAGATCGAGGTGAGGTGTCTCTGACGCTTTCACAAACAGGAGGGAAACTGAAAGTTGCTCTATTTTTGACATGAGCACAACAGTGCAAAAAAAGTGTACGGTGCGGCAGTTTCCTTTGTCTTCGTGATGTTGCGGTGTTCTCCCGCTTGACTGATCATACTTTGACGATATGTACAGTACGGCAGTTCAAAATTCTCGAGACAGTATAGCGACACTCGAATATAGTTGACTCTTTCAAGGCATTTTACAGTTCCACTCTCGCTAGCAGTGTTCCCTTCACAAGTCCGTAGCGATCACTTGTTAATTTTTACGTTAATGCGTCCACACCGTGCCTGTCGACTATTAATCTCCCTTGCGATGCCAGTCGTCCCTCCTTGGCAGTGAACGCACCCCAGCTCGCGCCGTGAGAAAAGCTCCAGGGCGAGCCGACAGATGTGCGTATTGTCGTGCGTGTGGACGTCCACATTCGTGGCAAAGCGCCGATCGCACAACAATAGCGCCACTGGTGATCCGTTCAGAAGCATACTGTGTACTGTAGCTGGGGAGCAAGTTATACTGGAGTGTGCGCACCCCCAAGAAAGCTCGAAGGATACTGTGTACTGTCGCTGGCGAGCAAGTTATACTGCAGTCATACTGGAGTGTGCGCACCCCCAAGAAAGCTCGAAGCAGATGTGTGAAGTGATAGAAGTACGATACGCCAATAGAGAAGGCAGAAGATGTATATACGAAGGAAAGAATACATTTGGCTGTTCCACGCTCGATCGCAAAGCCACTCGCCGTTGGCAACAGCTTTTCTTCGGTACGTGCGTGCACGTGCCCGCAAGTGTGGAACCGTGTGCTGTAAATTACTCTTCTGGCGCGAGGCGGCGCCCAATTTTAGATCTGGCGTACAGTACTGAAGAGCAGAAACGATTGGTCAGAGCCCACTGTACACACTAGACGCAGGACGGACGGAAGCATAAAACAAGGCGCCAGTGCTGTATTCCAGTCGCCAGTCGCATTACTGTATCAATGCATTTATTGATACAGTAAACGCGTTTTGCCGGGTTCTCCCTGGTTGTAAAAGACCCGGAGCAAAACAGGAGCGGGTGTGCGGCAAAACGCGTGGTAAATGCATTGATAATGCGACTGGCGACTGGAATACAGCACTGGCGCCTCGTTTTATGCTTCCGTCCGTCCTGCGTCTAGTGTGTACAGTGGGCTCTGACCAATCGTTTCTGCTCTTCAGTACTGTACGCCAGATCTAAAATTGGGCGCCGCCTCGCGCCAGAAGAGTAATTTACAGCACACGGTTCCACACTTGCGGGCACGTGCACGCACGTACCGAAGAAAAGCTGTTGCCAACGGCGAGTGGCTTTGCGATCGAGCGTGGAACAGCCAAATGTATTCTTTCCTTCGTATATATATATGTATCCGATACATTGTATCGTATATATATGTATCTTCTGCCTTCTCTATTGGCACACCGCGTTTTGCCGCACACCCGCTCCTGTTTTGCTCCCCGGATCACACCTTCGTCTCAAAAGAGACAACAGTAGGAAAAACCTCCGCTTGGCCAAAATTGACTTTACGTCTCTGTACTTCGCATAACTACAGTACTTCTTGGTCAATGGATGTCCTCACCCAACCTCCTCATGATACGCTTCCCAGGTTGCTCGTACTGCATGTATGACCCCTATCCTAAATGCCTGTACATTTAGCTTGCCCTTGACAGATGACTTCCCTCTTACCGAGAAAGAGGACAGTCCAACCTATTGTTAAGCTACTTTGAATTTCAACACATCACAGACAGTAGCCCTCTTTAATATGTCAAATAGCTGTACAACGCTTACAAACACCCCGTTCCTACCATTTTCACACTGTACATTATAACAATTTCCACCACACTTGCTCCCTCGCCGTCCCCACTGCCCGTCTCCTGGGAGCCCCACGCGGGGGACGGGTTGTAGGGAACGCAAATCCTCCCCGGCAACCATGTCTCGTTTGTTCTCCATTTGTAAATTTCCTTCGCTCTGGGGGTGTTATAAGCCCGCAAACAGGGCCCACGACTTGATGTGTTTAGTAAGTGCGGACATCTTTTGCTCAACTCACCCTCAACCGTGCATCTTCGATCCCAGCACCCCATCTTCTCCTCGCAGTTAAATTCCTTGCTCTTGCTCTCCGCAACATGTACAAGAGTCGCCAATCATCCACGAAACGGCCCCGTCCGCATCACAGAACGCGACCTGCCGGGGCAAGCGCCCCGGCGAAAAATGAGAGGCCCGTGTGCAACGAGTGCCACCGTTCCTTTTCAAAGAAGGCCAACCTTATGGCCCACCTTCGAGTACGTACCCCATCCATCTAACCCGCAATACTGAACATGCTGATGTTCTTTCAAAAACATATCTCCGCGTGACGTTCCTTTATTTTTTTGGTGCTGACGGGTCACCAACTCTTTGGTGAATTCTTTGCATTTTGTTCGCAAAGATTCATACGGGGGACAAGAGATACCACTGCACCCTTTGTGGTCATGACGTAAGTACATACTCTCAATTCACTTCTCCTTTACCCCAACTACGCTTCGTAATCTCCTTGAACTAACCGCGATACCAACTTGATTTACAGTTTGTGTGGAAGAGCAGTCTGAACTATCATGCTAGAAAAAAACACAGCGACCACGAAATAGTGTTCATTCCTGGACCGGTGACGACGCTCGCGGCTATTAAGAAGAAGACTGCGGAGATATGTGACGCCCCCTCGGATTCGGATATTCAAATCCAACCAGCAGTGGATCAAGAGGCATCCGAAAGGAATAGTGTCGACAAAAATGAGGAAGAAGCGGGGCAACTTTGCGAGATCCCACACGCGACAGCAAGCTACCCGCTGGGAGGTGATCAGGATATAACCCACAGCTCAAACTTCGGAGACGAGAGACCTCATGGCTCGAGGTCTCTTGACTCATATGTGAGCCCGCATTGCGATCCCATTCCAAGTGAGACGCAGACCTGCGGACTGGGCCCTGACATTCAGAACATTGAAGGACGTTTCTACGGGAAGTGCGCCAGTGGGGAATGCGATCTTACAGGCAATCCCCATGAAGACAGGGAAGACCTGGTTGTGGCAAGCCTCAATCCGACTGAAGAAGAGGAGTGGAGCCTCTCTAAGTCGTCTCTTGATGTGCAATGTGAATCTACCAGCGGAGAGGCAGTGGAGGTGCTGCCGGTGGACAGAAACTCGTTGGCCTACTTGATGCATCCAGTCGATCAGAATATCGACTCACAGCTAGACGGCTTTCGAGAGTTGGCTTCGTCAGACTTCCTTACACAATGTTTTTGAAATCTCGTCCGTTCCCGAGCAAAGTCCACGCTCTGCCACGGAAGGTTTTGGATAAAGCCGTAGTAAATAGCTGATGGCAAAGCGCCGCTGCTTCAATAAACTGTCAGACATTTCGGGAGCACAAAATTTGAAGCGCGTTCAATTGCCCCCCCACCAATCGTTGGCCTCGCGATACCCTTCCTTGTCCTCTCATAGCAAGTGCATCAAAGAGTAGCCCAGAAAACTTCTGGATCCAAAAATTCTGTCTCAAGATCTATTTCCAAGGACGAGAAGCATCTTATCAACCCTATCGCTGTTTGTCTCCTGAGATCCCTAAGTGATTCTTGATCATACCACAACAGTTCAGTGTGCTGAGTCTCAAACGGACCGCAGAAGGTTTGAAATCACGAGCGCTTCGACCTCGCCGCCCTGGTGCAGCATTTTGGGCCGCCGTTCTTCACGGCTTCACGCTGACATGCCCAACCTCACAAGGACCGGTCTCGTTGCCGGGGTAGATTCGAGCACTGGTGCCACCAAGCTGGAACTGATAGACCTCAATACCGGGGTTGTAGTTGCCCAAGCTAGACGCCAACATCCGGCGACTACCCCTCCAGAGAGTGAGCAAGATCCCCGTGCATGGTGGAATGCGCTACTTGGCTGCTTCGAAGAACTTCAACATCATCTTCCTGATGTGAAAGCCGTGTCGATCTCGGGACAGCAGCACGGCTTTGTGGCCCTTGATGGGAACAATGATCCAGTCCGGCCAGCGAAACTTTGGAACGATACAACCTCAGCGCCCCAAAGCAGGGCGATGATCGAAAAGCTCGGCCCCGCGACGTGGGCTTCTGCTGTCGGCTCGTTGCCGGCGCCCGCTTTCACAGTCACGAAACTTGCGTGGCTAGCGGCAAATGAACCCCATTCACTACTCCGTGTTCGACGAGTAGGACTCCCCCATGACTATTTGAATCTTAGGCTTACCGGTCGCTGGGGAACCGACAGAGGCGATGCGTCGGGCACTGGCTACTGGTCTGCACAGTCGGGGGAGTACTTGACAGATCTGATCGAAGCCGCAGGGGTATCTCCCGACATGATCGAGTTTCCCGAGGTTCTCGGTCCATTCGAGGTTGTTGGAAACGTAGTTGCTCCCGAGCTGCTCGCTCTCGGGCTCAGTTCTGATGTCGTCGCTGGGCCGGGCAGTGGTGACAACATGTGTGCGGCCCTCGGGCTTGGACTGCGTGCCGGTGACGTGGTCGTTTCCCTCGGAACATCAGGAACGGCGTATGCCGTATCTGATACTGGAACCAATGATGAACTGGGCCTCGTCGCAGGCTTTGCTGACGCGACGGGGCACTTTCTTCCGCTTGTCTGCACACTCAACGCTACTAAGGTCACAGAGTCGATCCGGCGACTCTTAGGCGTCAGCTTTGAACGACTTGACGAGTTGGCATTGTCAGCGCCTCAGGGTGCGAATGGACTCACCCTGGTCCCGTACTTCGATGGCGAGCGGACCCCAAATCGTCCTGATGCGACGGGAGCACTCGTGGGTTTGCGCACTTCGGTGGAACGCGCAGATATGGCGCGAGCCGCCTTCGAGGGCGTCACTTGCGGCCTTCTCGATGGTGTCGATGCCCTGATCGCAAACGGCGTCACCGCTGACGGTCGTTTCTTCTTGATCGGTGGTGGTTCGAAGTCTAAGGCATTCGCTGCCATATTTGCTTCACTTGCGGAACGCGACATCCTACGGCCCGCCAGTGACGAAACCGTTGCGCGAGGTGCTGCTGTCCAGGCTGCGTGTGTCCTGACCGGTCACGAGCCGTCACGCTTTACGCGTTTGTGGAGATTGGACGAAAGCCGATTGGTTTCCCCCTCTCTGGTCCAAGGTGAGGCGGCGTCAGTCGTGCGTGAGCGCTATCGAACCGAAGCGTCAATGCGTTGACCGAGGTGTCTTCCGCTCACCGAATCCACGCATCGGCAAAGCTTCTCGTGGATCCTCTGATGCAGGATGTAGATTTTATGTTACGCCATCGTACATATCTGCATACATGAGCAATATTAGGGAGGACCAGCCGGTGAACTGGCGACCCGATTTTCCGGATCCATCATCATCAGGTGAATAGTTCTCCCACAACTGACCTGTCTCCGAATAAACTTTGAATGCATTTTGAAGAACCGACTGCTGCAGATCCTCTAGTATCTTCGCCGCTCGTTCTTTGTATGGGCCGTCTTCTATAGAGTACTTCGTCCTCAATGCCGCAAGTGTGAGGAAATTGAAGGGCATCCACACTGAGCCTGTCCAGTAGTCATCTCCTTTACGATGCCATTCGTCTTTCCTTGAAAGTGAGCGTACGCCTGCTCGTGCCCTGAGAAGTCCTGGGTCCTCTAGAGCGTCCAAAATCGCACCAAGCCGCAGATCTGTGGGTTCTAGTAAGCCCAGCGCCAATGGCAAAATGGTTACGTAACCTTCGTGGCAAACCTTTTCGGATCCGTCATAGTCGCATAGCAACAGATCTTCGCGACTCTGATTGTCGTTTGGTTGAGAGCCATGCAAATCTATCAAGGATTTGCGCAAATGATTATGCTCTTCCCAAAATCTCGTCGCGTTATTTCCAGCTCGTTCCGACAACTTTGCGAGGGCCCCCGAAGCCCAAGTCATCCAGCAGTGTAGGTCGACATGTCTCTCGTCCACGCTTGGCACTTCTGCCCGTGGATAGTCATCAAGCCCAGAGGCTAGCGTCAGTGGGTATCCTTCAGGAGCCTTGGTTTCGGCAGACCTACCGCGCCATCGGAAAGAGTTCGGCTCCCGTCCTGATTGAGTCCTTTTTAGCCAGGAGTAGTATTGGACCACCTGCTTGAGCATGTCCCTTGAGAAATCGGAGAAGCGATTCTCCTGCTTTCTGTGGTCTTGGCGCTTGTTCGATGTGGAGAAACTGGCATCCGAGCCTTGCTGACGTGATTCACCCCCGGTAGGGTAAAGGGACGCGAGCACACGGAGTGGCATGAGAATGGTGGGAGGATTGGCGACCTTCGGATTTTGAATCATGAGGTGCTGCACGTGTTCCGGAAACCGGCTTCTTGCCTCTAGTCCAAGAATTTGTTCTCTGGGAATCCATCCAGTAGCCTGAATGGCCCCCATCCATGATTCCATGCATTCACGGCTCAGATTCTCATCCCAACGCTGCACAACAAGCTGGTGGAAGCCCTCATCCCATAAGAAACCTCTTGGAAACAACGCGCGAGATGGGGTGGCGGTTAGTAGGCCTACTGCGTCCAGGAATTGTAAGACCTCCTGTCCCGTTGGGTTCCTTCTCTGCTCTTGAGCTACAGAACTTCCGTAGAAGAACCCAATTCCACCAAGCAGATTTGACAGAGCTGCTTTCGCAAAAGCTTGTTCATCTACCGAGACGTTTTTCGCACCAAGCTCAAACACCCGATCAAATTTGGCATCGAAACGCTTCCGGCTTGCTTCAAGTAGATTCTGCAGGCCTTCATGACCCAAATCTTTTGTGAGAATACTGTCGACTTCTTCGGCTGTTCTCCCATCGGAGCGAGCAAACGCCACGTCTATTTGGAACGGTGCTTCGACAAGCCTCTGTACGAGCACACCCTGACCGTCTCTTTGCACCGCATCCTTGATTACATAGAGAGAAGATGATTGGTCATTGTGATCAGCTGCACGAGACTTCTGTAGCAGACGATCAAGGACCTTTTCAACGGCCCAAGCAAGTTTTGGATCCGATGGTAGCGAGGCAACATGGAAAGTATCAACGGGCAAACGCTTCATCTCTGGGATATCGCCCCTTGCGCGCAGAAACGCCCGAGACCCGGATGCACTATTTGCTCTGGAGACTGTCAATGAGGTAGGAACCTCGCTAGCTACATCAGAAACAGATCCGAACTCCGGCTCCTTGACTAAAACCTTGTATCTTCCACCAACACTCTCTGCAATGCCTTCAAGGACGACATCTCCTTCGATTCCCTCTCGTGAGACATGCATATCGCTACCAAGGCCCACCGTTCCCCACAGGGGTGCGTCCTCCATATTAACCGTGTTAATCTCCTTATCAATGTCATCAGGACCTGCAGTGGCGTAAAAGACGAGTGAGATGGGCTCAGTTGGCCGGCTTGAGTCGATAGGCACGGCCGTAACGCGGATCGCCCAGGCATCTTCCTGATTCGGATGATGTTGGAAGTGAGTAGTGATGTTGATATTTAGATCCTTGTCGACAATATGCTGGTCTCCAAAGTATCGACCGTCATGCCGCGACCACGAGAAAGATGATATTTTGTCGTGGTTGTCAGTGGCGAGATGTCGTATGGACAGCGACGAAGCCGGATGGTACATAAAACCAAGAAGCGGTGAATGAGGAACAGCAGCTCGGGCAGAAATTAATGCCTGCGGACGAAACGTGCCCCATCGCGGCGACGGGGTAGCCTGACAGAAAACGGGGAAGAGACAAACCAGAAACACCAAGAGTATCAAGTTTCGTACATCTTGGCACATCACCGATCGACTGCGCATGTTGGGAATTGACATTCATCATCAGCCTCTCGGCGAGGACGACGGCTGCTAGTGACAGAAAGGTGCAAGTGGGTGACGGGGCGCGCTTACGTGCAACTTTATCGTATCGTGTTCATTCCTGTGGGAAGAAGAATGGTGGGACGCATTGATGGCACCACCACGGGATCCACAAGCCAGACGGCACGGGCCTTCAAGCCCAATCCGTGAGGGCCTCATATTTTATGTCAAATTTTGAGACTGGAGAGCCTGAAAGGTGCCATAGAACGCAATCTTGGGACAGAAACATGAAGTATGTATATCGATATCCAAAGGCGGATTTCAGTATCGCAACGAATCGCAGTGTTCAGAGCTTGGCGCTGCGGGCTCGTAACTCAGCTTCCCTCACGAGAAGCTCGCTTTATTACTTCACCTTGAAGTTATCAACAAGATATGGCGACATCGCCTTGTCGTCCTCTTATACATTTATCATCTGGGTATGCCAGATATCGACGACCTGCCATGCGCGCAGTATGCTGGCAGTACGCTGATCGCGTCTCCTTCAAGATCATTCTTTCTACTAATTTTTAGTCTCTCTGTTGCCGGTCAATGGGCTGTTCCTACTCGTCGAACTCTTTCTCAAAATCCTGCTCATCTACAAGTACAGTTTTCCATCCATCTGGGTCGCGCACAGCTGTGATTTTAGTGCCAATACCGGGAACTGGACCCGGTTTCCTGGCCACCTCGATGCCGTTTTCTTCAAATCTTTTAGCTGCCTCGTAAACATCTGGCGTGCTCACCGCAATCTGCGCGTATCCATCGCCGCTTGTGTATTCATTTTCACCGTGGTTGTAAGTAAGTTCAAGGACTGTTGAGTCACTCTCCTCAGCAAAGCCCATGAAAGCCAGGGTGTAGTTGTATTGTTCATTTTCTCTCTTTCGCAAAAGGCGCATACCCATCGCCTCGTAAAACTTGATCGTTGCGTCTAAGTCACGCACTCGAAGCATCACTTGGCACATGGGATCTCTCTGCTTCCTCTGGATGACTTCAAATTTGTACCCCGTTGGATCTTGCACGAATGCGATCACGGTCGAGCCACCTGCATACAAAAAGTCGACGTGGTTTTTCTAGTTAGCGGCCGTTGCGAATACAGCTCGCGGACAAAAAAAAAAAAAAACCAATCGCATGGTATTCTCCTCTGTATACTACATGATGAACAGACTCGGCTCAACTTACCTTTGACCGGTCCCACCTCCCTGCATACCTTGAAGCCTGCCTCACGTACTCTCTCGACAACAGCACTGGCGTCCTCGACGGCAACACCAAAGTGCCCGAAGCCTGTGCCGATATCATATGAGTCAACACCGTAGTTGTAGGTCAATTCCAGACTGAAATACTCGCCCTTCTGCTCCGGTCCATAGCCAAAGAAAGCGTTTGAGTATTTCTCAGAAGGCACGTCGCGATAGCGAAGCCTTTTCATGCCAAGGGCCTCGAGAAACTTGGATGTCGCCTCCAAGTCTCCGACGCGGTAGACGGCGTGAAGCATCTTCTGTGACATGGTGAGAAAAGATCGTTGGGCGTGGCGGTGCACGGGGCGAGGAGAGATTAACGGCTGCCTTGCGATATGGACTCGACGGGAGATACTTCCGATACCAGTACCGATGAAGCTTGGTGTTGTTGCGGACGTTTGATGAGACCGGTAAGCCTTCATCGCTGCAGCTCCCTTGTCGTTGTGCATTTTTATGAATTGGGTATTTTTATCGTGCAGTGCCAAAATGGGTGTGGATACTGTGCTATTGGAATGAGCTCGTTCTCAAGTAGCGGCATAATTGGTCTGCAAATCATCATCTCAACAAAAAAAATATACTGTACAGAATATTCGGCCGTATCCTTCGTGCCTCGCCGGACTTCGTTCGATACCGGATCCCAATACGACTTATCCAAAGAACACTTTCCGCCTGGCGTCTCTCCCATGCACCGCCTTTGCCCAGACGTGAGCAACTCAGAACCTCGAGTGCACCCAGCTTCCTTCCACAGGCGCAACTCTTGCTGAAGGATTCGACAACTACAGTAAGATACCTCAGCAAAGGTACCGTATTCCTCACTGCCTCTTCTGGCGTCAGACATTGTACCTCCCTCTCGGCTTCAGCAAGAGCTCACGAAAAATGTCAACACAAACATTGTTGCATCACCTAGCAAGAGACCTATTACAACACGCACCAAGCGTCTGCAGCGTTTACACGACTGGCACCAATGCGAACCTGCCAATCCGCTTCCTCTTGGCGTTGCGCACTGCGTCGAAACCCAACCGTTCGTAGGAGCACCCGCCCCGCATGCCTTTCACTTAATACTATACACATAGACCGCCCTCACGCCCGCCCCCTCACGACGGCGTCTGCAGCATGACGGCCGCGGCGGCCTTCTCCGCGTGCGGTCTCCTTCCGCCGCCCTTCAGCACGGGCAGTGTGCGCGGGGCTCTGCGGGGCACGTGATCCGCACTTGCGACGAACGCCATGGCGGGCAGCTGCAAGTCTTGCGAAGGGGCGTCCCTTCCCGCCGCGAGCGGGGGGGGTCCGGCCGCGGTGAGCCGCCCA